TGATTACGCTACACATCTATCCATGAGAATAGCAGAATATCATTAAGAAACATTTCATTGACTTCTTTTTGGGGGGATGGGGGCTAGTTGTGTTGGTTCTGAGCTATCCAGTTTCTGGTTCCTAGTCATCCAGGCAGTGTCAGGCATGGGTTCTCTCTGGCTTGGGCCTCAAGTTAGGCCAGTCATTGGCTGGCCACTCCCACAAACTCTGAGCCATCATAGTCCCATTATATGTTGCAGGCAGGACAGGTTGGAGTGGAAGGTTTTGTGGCTGGGTTGGTGTTCCAGTCCCCCTACTGGGAGCCTTGCCTGGTTACAGAGGATGGCTGGTTCAGGCTCCATATCCCCATTACTAGGAGTCATCACTAGGGCCACCCTCACAGGTTCCAGGAAGTTTCCATTGCACTAGGTTTCCACGTTGCCCCCTAAATGTCCACCTATCCCAGTTGTCTCTCTCTGTACTGTCTTCTTCTGTCCCTCTCTCCCCAACCTGATCCAATCCCCACCTGCTCCCCCGACCCCCATCCACCTGCAAAATCTATTTTCCCTTCCCAGGGAGATCCATGTCCCACCTAGAGCCCTCCTTGTTACTTAGCCTCTCTGGGCCTGTAGATTGTAGCTTGATTATCCTTTACTTTACAGTTAATATCTACTTATAAGTGAGTACATATCATGTTTGTCTTTCTGGGCCTGCCTGGGTTGCATCGCTCAAGATGAATTTTTCTGGTCCCATCCATTTGCCTGCAAATTTTATTATGTCATTTTTTTCTAACAGCTGAGTAATACTCCATTGTGTAAATATACCACATTTTCTTTATCCATTCTTTGGTTGAGGGACATCTAGGTTGTTTCCAGTTTCTGGCTATTAAGAATAAAGTCACTATGAACATAGTAGAGCAAGTATCCTTGTGGTAGGATGGAGCATCTTTTGGGTATATGCCTGAGTGGTATAGCTGGGTCTTGAGATAGATTGATTCACAATTTTCTAAGGAACCGCCATATTGATTGTGATAGTGGCTGTACAAGTTTGCATTCCCACCAGCAATGGAGGAGTATTCCCCTTGCTCCCTGTCCTCACCACCATGAGCTGTCATTGGTTTTATTGATCTTAGCCATTGTGACAGGTATGAGATGGAATCTCAGAGTCATTTTGATTCGCATTTCCCTGATGACTAAGGATGTTGAACATTTCTCTCAGTCTCAGCCATTTGAGTTTCCTGTATTAAGAATTCTATTTAGCCGGGCAGTGGTGGCACATGCCTTTAATCCTAGCACTTGGGAGGTAGAGATAGGAGGATCTCTATGAGTTTGAGGCCAGTCTGATCTACAGAGTGAGTTCCAGGACAGACTCCACAGAGAAACTCTGTCTTGAAAAAAAACTCTCTGTTTAGATCTGTACCCCATTTTTAATTGGATTGTATGGTTTGTTGGTGTCTGGTTCTTTTCTTAGGGCAGTCCATCTTGGCGATCTTCCCCTCCACTCCCAGTTCTCCTGGTAGGAAGGGGCTCTTATCCTCACTCTCACTCTGAAAGTCCAGGTCCCTCCCATCCTTCACCCTCTGTGTCTGCTCAGCTCTAGCCCAGCCTTAGATTTGCTTGAGAGCAGAGAACCTCACTCTGGGAGTAGGCAGCCAAGTCTGGCTTGCCCAGGGCCCTGGTTTCCTTGTTGAGCCTTTGTTTCTGCTTTGCTATAAGCAGACAGGAGAAACGATAAGAAATACAGCTTAATCCCTGGAGTTATTTCTAAATTAATCAAATAAGAAAGCTGAAGCGCCTATAGAGAACCTACTCAGTTTTATTGACATGAACTAAGATTTAAACAAATGAAAAGACTTTAACTATGTTCTTGGATGGCAAATCTAAATACCATTTAAAAAAGTTAATTTCCTCTAATTTGTATAAACACTCAATAATACAATTTTGACTAGGATTCTGACAGGGATGTAAAAAAAAAAACCCAAAACCTTATAATTAGATAAATATTCATATGAAAGAATAAATGTCCATGAATAGCCAAAGAAATTATGAAAATGAAAACCATTGCTCAGAAAGAGCTCATTAGAAGTTTACTGTCTCTGTAAGTTAGAAGAGCATGGAATATGTGTCGTTACTTCCTGTATGACTGTGATCTTTGAGAAACACAAAATGTTCCATAATTTACAAAAAGTTAAGGACGCACTTGAGTTAGAACCAGGGAAAAGATACAGATTAGAAACCCTAACTAAAAATGTCGTTAAATAAAAACCATTGTAGGACCAACCAAATGGTTTAGAAATATTGTCATACTTGTGCAAACCTGATACTGTGAGTTCTCAAAAGTTGTCATCTGAACACCACATGTATGTCTGGACTCATAAGCATGCAACACACATACACACACACACACACACACACACACACACACACACACACACCCCATCATCATCATCATCATCATCCTCATCATCATAATGATAATCATACTAAGTAAAATCAAATTTTAAATACCATGGTATTTCTC